TCGCACCAGGACCCACACGCGCGCAGTGAAACACACTGTTTAGCTCGTCCGACGCCCCACTCTTCTTCATTTTTCTGGTTTCATTCTCGGCCAGCCCCTTTTTAACGAGTTTTTCGAAGCCTTTTTACTTTGGAAACACCGATGCACGCAGTTTCTTCACCTCAGTCGCACTAGTTTCGATCTTGTGTTCCATTTTTCATCATAATCTGGATTACCCGAAATTATGTGAACGGTGCCTTTAACTCTCCCCCTTAATATAACGGCAGGTCTCTTAGATTTACCCCTCATATCTTAGATGTACCGTGCCAAAAGAGCTTTTAAATGCCAAGCGATGTTTGATTCACGGGGTTGTGACGCTCGCATTATTTCTGAAATTTGCCAAAAGTACAGTACCATTAGGAAGAAAATAATATACTTCCTTGTGAAATGGATGGAACAAAATGAAATTTTATAAGCTCGGGAAAAAATTTGGTATGAGCGTCAGCGCGTGCTGTCATCATACTTTGGGCCCACCTGTATATTGGGTTCACGCATAATATTGCGGGTTTCTTTAAACGAGTTTTATTCGGCAAGGCGATAAACATTCTAAACAAGGCATTTTAAAATAATTACTCCGAACTGTAGCCATAATCTTAATCGAGCACTGCTCCCCATTTGACAGGCATTCAGCCAATTGCCCGACGAAAATTTTTCGATTCATGTAGGCAACACACTTTTTGACATTAGCCTCCAAGCGATCCATTTCTCCTTGAGTTTTGTTCTTTGGCCAATTTTTAAACGGCTAATGACACGATATTCTGTAGGAGCTTCTTTCGGTGAATATAGTGGGTTTGGGTGCAGATCCAATCTTAATGGCAATCTATTTGACGACAAGTTTGCTGGGGTCCGGGAACTTCTCCCCTAGCACGGCGTCGCACCCGCCGCCTATCGCAGGATTGCGATGAAAGATTGGAGCGCGCAACTTGTGAAGTAGGGAGTCCTTTAATCATTTGAGTTGGCTGGTCGCTCCCTTCAATTTCAATGCGGTATTGATCGTCGTTTGTATAAGAGGAGTCATTTTAATTAATCAAGTCTAATAAACATGAAAACTAAAAAGAAACAGAAGAAGAAACGATAAAATCCAATGAAAAAGCAAGCCAGTCAAGGAAAAATATCGCGTCCTAACGATTTTCGGGAGGCGGGGTGAGTACGGTAATTGCAGTGGCATTTGCCGCATGCCGCAAGGGAGAATGCCGCGATAGGGGAGAAGTTCCGTTACCCAGTTTGCTGAGATCGCTGAATGACTCTGCCGCCTTCCAACCTTCCTCGGAGTGGTAGAACATGATGTGGGGGACTTGAAGATTACTTGATAGCAATTCTGTGAGGAAAAGTGGGAAGATCGTCCCTTCAAGAATTTTAAATCTGGAAGCAAAAAAATTGAGAAAAAAAAATCTGCAATAATTAACACCACCAGAATATATAGCGCTAGTCGGTGTTTGAAAATACCGAGAGGCTACACAAAAGAGGAGGTCTTTGTAGAGATGACAAAAGAGGATGTTTGATTCTTGCACGCCTTTCCCAATATTCATTAGACCCTTCCAAAAATAACATATAAAAATCGAGTGCTGTTTGAAAAAACGGCAATGGGGAAACAGTTTGTGTTCAAAGCAATGTCCTGTTAAGATCGAATTTTATAGATGCCACATAGCATGCGAACGGCTATTATTGACGCGGTGTCCAAATTTCAAAACTACACCTTCATATGGAAGATCGATGAGATCGACAAAGTGCCGGAAATGCCGAATCTTTTCACAAGCAGTTGGCTACCACAAGCCGCCCTTCTTGGTACCTGAAGTATTTGTAACATACGGGCATCCATTTCATAGAAAATACTGTCCTTCGAACAGTGCAAGGCCTAGTTTCTGTAAAACGTTGCGAAGAAGCACTAATAACATAATCATAAACAAATTCGACATAGGTTTACTAATTTAGGGCATCCGAAATTGCGCTGTTTCGTGTCTCACGGAGGACTGAATAGTGTACTGGAATTAGCGAGAAACGGCAAACCGTCGATTCTCATTCCACTATATGGTGATCAGCACAGGTCAGATGGCAAAACTTAAGTATGAGTGACCCCTGAAGCTGGTGTAAAATGGTTAGAGGTAAGCCACTTGCAAAGGTATCGGGAGCTCCACTCCTGAAATGGAACCAAAGCAAATGCTTTCTGGTATTAACATTGACCAGAGGGGACGACCAAGGAAAAATATGAGCTGTAGCTACATCAGCCATCATAAACATTTGAACCAGTTGGTTGACTTTCTCTAAGTTAATGCAATTATCCCAACTCGTAAGGTTGCACATGCTAAGAAAAAGTTTATTGAGTTAAAGTGTCTGTTCAGAAACGCAAAACTTGTCGAACGCAGAGGTTCAGCAATTGTGATCTACAAAGAGCACTTAACAAGCGAAAACCTAATCAAAAGCCTTCAGACCATTTTAGAAGATGACATGTAAGTAAAATTGAAAAGAGTTCTGAAGACACCCCTTCAGTTATTCCCAGCCACTAGTCTTCCGAAGTTACTACTTTGATAGTTATCAGAAGATTTTTTGTATTTCAGATATCGACAAAAAGCTGAGCGTCTTTCGTCACTAATGATTAAGAAACCCTTCAACCTGAAAGAACGTCTTCTGTCAACAGTCGAATTTTCCGCACTCCATGGTAAAATTGAGGAGCTGGACTCGTACAGCTACAAAATGGGGGTGGTACAGTACTTCTCCTTGGACGTACTATTCGTTGCTCTTTCTTTGCTCGTGTTACTACTCCCTGCCCTGATTTATCTTGTTCGGAAACTTTTGAGATTTATGTTTGTTTATAAGTACAAGGCTCACTGATGCGTGACTGATGATTAGATACTCACTAGTTAGTGACTTATACGGGTCCGTCAATTTGGAGTCCTGCTTACATCAATCATACAGCAATAAATAATAACGAATTTTTTGATGTTGCCAAATAAGACCAGTATGTGAGTCGCCTAATTTCCCAACTTGTAATTACCGCTCGATGCTGTTCGCTAAGGAACCTAACTGTCACCAAAATACACAGAGCAGCTTCAATAAGAGATGTTGTTGAGCTTTTCCTAACTAAATAATATTTCCTCCAATTTCATAAATGGATGTCAGTGACACTGCTGCGCTTGTCGATAGTGGTTGAACCGATTTCAATTTCTGCCTCTGCTCTTCAAAGCATTCTTCAAGTATCACTATGAAGAAAAAAAAACTCCTGATCTGATTACTGTTGAATAGAATCACAAGAACAGCCCCGAAGATATCTGCGCTCAGATCCCGCACTTGTGTGGGCTTTGACGAAGACGATTAGGAACCTCGACAAATTTCTCGGAACGAAGCAGAACAACAAGAATCAGCGGGTAAAAAACATTAAACGTCAGTGAAAAGCAACGGGTGAGATTAACTGCACGAGAGCATCTTTGAAGAATTTATGATTATGTTCTAATCTCTTACAATTATACATCGGACAATTTCAGCGTATCGTTTCACGAACGCCATGTGCCATCGGGAATAAAACGGAATGTGCCACCTTTTTCATTCAGTCGAAAGTAGGTCACATTTGCGGCCACTTGCCCCAGCAATCGTGTCAAGACCCTTCACCTTCAAAACCTGGACTAAACATAGTGAGAGTTTCTTGATCGCGTAGCTTCTGCGAACTCGTAGCGAGTTTTATGCGGTGGTCTCACGGACTTTAGTTGCTGCTAAGATTGCATTCATTAGCCGAGCTTCTCGTTTCCACCAATCTATAGGACGTCATCTCAAATTTGATCTGAGAGACATGCTACTTTGTATAACGGAAATTTAATGCGAGGCGCACCCATGGGAAATGATCAGGTCTCTCAGACTCGTAGCCTACTACCACGCAAATTGCAAAAATCAACCTCTTGCAAAAAGTACTGTTGTGTTTTCTAGTGCTGTTCTTATCAGTAGATTTCATAAGTGAACGGGACACCGAGGCCGACCAGACGTCGTCCCAATGATTAAATTAATGTTTATGAGATGGAGTCAAAAAATCATTGCCAAGGGAAGAAGAATTATATTTGCTGATGTCAGCCTTTCAGATGAAGGTATGGATTGCTTCGCATTTTGGAATACGCATTCTTCATGCAACTGTGTGTATTGCGGGGCATATTGGACGCCATATATGTATATAAACTCTATGGCTTCGGGCTGAGAGTGCTTGAGTCAATCTAACGGGTCGTGCCACTTTATCGGTAACTTTCAATGTGAAATCCTTGGGACAGTTTTAAGTCTGTGAATATGGCTGTTTGCTCGAAACGGCCGACATTAAAGAACTCCTACTGTACGAACCATTCAAGGCAAAGATTTATATAAAGATATAGACATATATAAATGTATATATACGTATATATATGTATATATATCCACAAGTATAAGACCACCCTTAAGTTTGATATTTACAGGATAAGCAGCCAAGCGCATAACTTTCTGGCACCACCATTAGATTCATCACCTTCAATTACCCCTTACACGTACTTTGGCTTACTCAACTT